CGGCCGCCGGCCGATCGGACGCACGGGGTCGTAACGTTGACGCACCGGCTGGCGCCCCTTGCTCCCCTAGGCGGTTGTCCCCCTGCTTCACTCCGAGGTCCGTTTTCGCATGCCGATCTGCGACGCTCGCTCCTTCCCGTCCACTGGGACGACGCGCCCCCTGAAGCTCGCCGACCCCGGCGCTCTCGCCCTCCCGGCCTCACTACCTCCCTGCCTTCCACACACACACACACACACACACACACACACACACACACAACACACAACGTCCCCCCCCACCCCGCAAACCAACACCCAACCTGCTAATCCCTCCGGTCTTTGCTGTCCTTCGTCCCCTTGACAGCCGTACCCTCACCCTCACCCTCACCCCCACCCCCAACATCAACATCACCCCAGGGCCGTTTCGCAATTTGGGTCGACGCGGAGCTCCTGCGCGGCAGCAGCGGCGCGTGCGGCACGTTTGGCAGCCCCTGCCTGGCCGGCCGGGAGGAGTTCCAGCTGCACTCGGTGGAGCTGTGGGCGGTGGGGGCCGGGTGACACTGTGTGACGTCACATGCCCGCGCTGCACATCCCCTGACGGCGGCGCCGTCGGCTGCCGAGGTCCTGCCGGCGGCGGCGGCGGCCGGGGTGCGGGCCTGGATCGCCCCGCTAGCGTGGCGCAGCCCTCCTGGCGGCCGCGGAGTCGAGGCCGGCGGCGGCAGCCGTCCCGCCAAGCAGCCCTGGCGCGCCCTGCACGCGCCCCAGCCGCGGGGGCGCCCAGCCGGGGGGCGCCGCCCATTGGCCCGTTTGATTGCCCCGTCCCTGCGGCGCCGAGTGGCCCTCTGTCGGCGTCGGTTGCAGGCGGCAGCTGCTCCGCCATGCGCCCGCCCGCCTCTTTTTTGGTTTGAGGGCACGCATGGTTCTTATTGTTTGTGTTGCCCTGCTCACGGCAAGTCTTGAGAGAGCGAGGGAGGGCAGCAGCAGCAACAAAGCAGGCTCACACGCACCTGCCTTCCCCAACAGACACACAGCGAGGGCAGTGGACGGGGTCGCCATGACTCGCTAGTAAACGCTCGCCGGCAACGGCGGCCTCTGATATTGAGCATGCAGTGCCATGCACACCGACCGAGACCATGCACAGTCGCAGCAATGGCGCATTGATCACGGTCAAAGGGCGGGGCAGCGGCGTGGTCGACATGCCCTAGGCGCGCGCCTCACCAGCGTTGCTGAGACGGAAACAAAGGCGGAGCGTGGCGACTTTGTGCTTCATGGGGCGGGACGCCGCTGCGGCTGGCAGCTCAAGCATAAGTCGTATGGGCTGCGGACTGGGGCTCGGCGCGAGGGCTGCAGCGCTGCGACAGCCGACAGCCGCCGCCGGCAGCGGCGCGCCCAGCAGCCTGCCCTCCCTGGCCCGCCCAGAACACGGGGCGACGCACGCGGGGCGCTTGCAGCCACGGGTGCAGCGGGGCGCCGCAGCTCGGGGCTGCGCCCAACGGTGCACTGGCATGATTCGGAGTTGCTGCGCAGCACAGCGGCTTGCTGGTGACTCTGCACACGTGGAGCGTGAGGCGTCCCCCAAGCAGCCGCGCGCGTCTGTGATGCTTGCAACGGCATGGAGCACCGCGGGGCCGAATTCACGTTGCATTGACTGAGTGATCCATCTGCGTGCGCGAGCGGGCTCAGTTCAAAAGCAGGCAGGGGCCGTCACCCTGTCCCCAAGGCGGCCACGCTGCACCCGCTTGGGTGCCCCGGATGTCAGTTGGTGTTGCGCTGTTCGCGCTGCGCACTGCCCAGACGCAGCGCCCCCCTGGAACGCCAGTGGCCCGTCCGCAGGCGCCTGTCAGCAGGGACTCGTACGCGCGCAGGCTGCAGTGTTCCTCAGGGGTGCATGAGAAGGGGGGTGTTTGACGCGCAGAGGCCAGCCCGGGGGTATGTCAGGGAGTGGTTACTCCAGAGCAGTGCCTCGCGCAATATGCAGTGCATGTGTCGCCCACAGGAGCGAAGAGGCACTTCACAATGATGGAAGGAGGGAAGCGGTTTAACGCACGTAACGGGGACTGCCAGCGCGAGCCTGGGCCGCGTGGCCCCGTCGATGGCGCTCTGTTGCATGCGCTTGTGCGTGACGCATGACGCATGTCCCCAGTCAATATGGGCCCTCCGCAGGTGGGGGCGGGGGCGCCTGCGCCTGCGCCTGCGCCACTTGGGCCCCGTGCTGTTTCAGGGGCGGGGCCCTGCGTGACGAAATGGGGGTCCGCGCGACATGAAACAAACTGCCGCCCATTGCGGCATGCTGGCGCTGCAAGGAGCGCGCTCTGTTCGTAGACATAGGTCGGGCAGCTGCGAGGCAGCTGCTGAGAAGGTGACGTACGAAGGGGGACAGCCGAAACCTCGGGGTGAGCCCCGGCTCGCAAGCCGGCGCAGTTGGGCCGGCGCAGCCAAGACGAGACGGAAGAAAGAGTGTACACAAGCCGGGCCGCGCTGGCGGGGCGGGCGAAGGGCGCTCCTAGCTTGAGAGGCGCGTAGGCAGCCGGCTGGGGGGAGGGGCAGGGCGCGGCGCCGCGCGACGGTAGCCCCTGTGCTGCGCCTGTGCGTTATGGCTTGAGCAGCTCTAGTAAATCAAATAATTGGCCAGCCACCTTGGCAACTATCGAGCCCAACGATAATCAGGCAGCACTTGCAGCCTTCCCAATTGGAGGCCGCACGGGGGTCACATGACAGGTGCCTATCGCATCAAATCGCTCTCGTCTCATCCAAACAGCCGCTGCCGCAAGCAGCAGCTAGAGGGAACGCCGCACCCACGCACACTCCCCGCGGAAAGCCTATCAGGGGCCACCGACCCTCAGCAAGGACCGCAGCCCCCGCGCGAACCGGCCCCCGCCGCCCTCGGCCGCCCCTGCTGTGGCGACAGCGCCGCCGCCGCCGCCGTGCCGCCGCCGCTCCGGTGACGCTGCGAGATCCGCGTCGGAAGACGAGGAGGCGCCCCCGAAGCTGCCCCAGCCCGCGGTGATCGCGTCGGCGCCGCCCGCCGCCCAGCTGGGGGCGTCCGCCAGCGCGCACGCCGCCGCGGCGCCCTTCTGCTGCTTGCCCCGGTGGTGCGGCGCAACGCCCGGCGCGCCCTCGTCGCCCTCGCCGACCGCGTGCGCCGCGCCGCAGCCGCGGTCGCGGTCGCCGCCGCGGTCGCCGCCGCGGTCGCTGACGCTGCTGGGGCTGTCGCTGAGGCTGCCGCTCGCGCCGCGGCTCGGCGACGAGTACGGCGTGCCCGCCACCGCCTTGAACGGGGACACCGCAGCCGGCGCCGGCGTGTCCGCCCGCCGGCCCGCCCCGCGCACGCAATCGAGCTCGTCCCCGCCGTCCGGCGCGCCGCTGGCGCCCCCGCCGCCCGCCGCAATGACGTCACCGTCGCGCCCCCGCAGCGCCGCCCCCTGCATCGCCGCGTCGTGGGCCGCGTGCTGCGCGAGCGCTTGGCTGTCGCAGGCGGCGGAGCGGGCCATGGCGCCGATGGCGCCCACCACGGCCTTCTTGGGGCCGGGAAGGGCGAGGAAGGCGCCGTGGAAGGCGCCGGCGTTGTGGACGGTGTGCACCTTGTCGCCGCACATGTACTGCAGCATCATGTAGACCTGCAGATGGTGATACGATAATTTAGGGTTTAGGGGGTGAGGCGGGCCCAAGTCTGAGAGCAGTTGCATAGAAGGTGGTTTTGAGGAGATAACATTGCAGCGTATGTGTACGCACTTTGACTTTGAGCCATTCGATTGTTGCGGTCGTTTGGCTTGATGAGGGCTTAGAGTGAGTGGCCGGCCCAACAACCCGCCGCCCCTTTCAGCACCCAGCCGCCCCCCACGACCGCACCTCACCACGCCCCTCGCCACCCTTACAGCCCCCCTCACCTCGTCCGCGTGCACGAGGTCGTCCGCGGCGCCCAGCACCACCGCTGACCCGGCCGGCAGCTCGTCGGGCCACCTTTCAGTCGTGAGGTGGTTTTGTGAGTCGTTTTCAGGTCATAAAGCGTTGAGATGGGGCGCAACAAGAGCACAGAGGATCTGCGGGCCGTCGACCCACGTTCCAACCCCCGGTCATGCACACGCTGCGTAGGCGGCCGAGCGTGCGAGCAGGCAAGCCCGGATGGCAAGTCGACTCCCACCGCCCGCCCGGGTGCTTGCAAATGCCCAGAAATCCAGCGCAGTCAAAGTGAAAATGGGTCGGCGGCCTCACATGATGATGTCACTCCAGTAGAAGCGCCGCGAGAAGGCGGCCGCCAGGTGCAGGTCACGGGAGGCGAAGAACACGATGGTGTCCAGGAAGGATTGGAGGGGCCTTTGGGGTGGTTGGGGGTGTTTTGAGG